GGAGCAAGGAAGAATGAAGAGAACAGGATACAAGGAAAAGATTAGTCCAAAGGACTAATGGACCAAAGCTACTAAGGCCTCCATCAGACTGAGCCCAGTACAGCTGGATGGTGCCCAGCTACCACCACTGACTGCTCTGACCAGGATCATAACAGACAGTTCTGGACAGAGCTGGAGAAGGATGTAGAACACAATTCTAACACAAAAAAAAAGACCAAATTTACTGGCCTAAAGGAGGCTGGAGAAACCTCGAGAGTATGGCCCCCAGACACCCTTTTAGCTCAGTGGTGAAGTCTCTTCCAAGGATCACCGTTCAGCCAGGGACTGGACAGCCCCATAAAACCAAATGGGACTAATGAGGCACAGCAGTCCAGGGACAATAGCTAGAAGGCAGAAGGGGATAGGAAAGCTCGTGATAGGGAACCCAAGGTTGAGGAAGGACAGCGTTGATGTGTAGTGAGGTTGTTAAGCATTGTCATAGGGCAACATGTGTACTAACTGTTTAATGAGAAACTATTTTGTTCTGAAAACCTTCATCTAAAATGAGAATAGCAGCACGACTGGAAGAGCGTAGTCGATGTCACTGAATTGTGTGTGTAAAAATTTTTGAAATGGTGTATCTTTGTCTATGCATATTTTCACCAAAAAAAAAGGTCGAGAAGGGAGAGGGTTGACATGTCATGGGGTTGTTAACCAATGTCATAAAACAATATGCGTACTACTGTTTAATGAGAAACTATTTGTTCTGTAAACCTTCACCTGAAGTACAATTTAAAAAAAAAAAATAGTAGAAGAAAACATAGGAAGTTTTAAAAATAATATGAGAGTAGGAAAGCTTTTCCAAATATGACAACAAAAGATGGATAAATTTGACTAAATAAAAATTTAAAATCACGCATAAAAAAATAAATAAATAAAATAAAAAACAATATAATGATCAAAAAAGGTGATACCCTGTATTGATTGATAGGGGTATGGAGAAATAGGCATTATTGTGGTATTACTAGCAGCTGTATAAACTCATATAACCAATAGAACTTCCCTGGGAAGCAATTTGGCAATATCTATCAAATTTACAATTCACATACCCTTTAAACCAGCAACTTTTCTTCTTGGTATTTTCTTACAGATATATTCACAATGTGTAAACTACAATTAACCAACTTGATCTCATAGACATATAC